CTCTATGGAACGGTACTTTGCAACCTATTTAGAAATGAGAAGTGTATGACTTATTGCGGTTGGAATTCAAAACGGGGATTAATTTCCGGACAACCTAATACTTCTATAAACGGTCAGCCCAGCGGTCGTTCTACCAAGGAATTGTTTGAGTGGCTATTGCAAAACTGCTGGCCAAAATTAAGGCTTAGACCTTTTTCGTAGAGCCTTAAAGACATTTGCCCGTCTGGGTTACGAATCGATACCCCATTCAGGCTCTGACGAAGGCGAGAAGCCGAAACGTTAGCCAATAAAGTTTGTAACAATCCCGGCGTTGGCTACAAGATATCGATCTAAATTTATCAACTATGCCGAGATTTATCGAAAGTCGTACATGCTATTTACTGATTATGACTTAGTTCTTTTTTATGGAAATCGCTATTTCTCCCGCAAAATATTGCCTGAAACGGGGATCGAACCCTGCTGGCATGACTAAATTCCAAAAAATAAAAAAATAGCTTCTTTCAGAAGCTCAAATGCTACTAAAGGCATGTATGTGTGATAAAGATGTTGGATGTACCAATTGGTGTAGACATCGTGCTTCCGAAGGCTCACTGAAGACTCGCACACTCGACAAAAGCGCACATGTAGATCAACGATGACAATCAATAATTCGTAAATCTTTTTGTTATGCCATTTATGCGGCCCTTAAGATTTATATGTACTTTAGACAAGCCCTGCTACTGCTGTGCGAAATCTGGTGTTATTTTATAAACTGCGAATTTTCTTATGATTTTATGTATGGTGGCAAAAAATGAGAAAGGGGGGTCGTATCTGCGCCTGATTCAAATTTCTCCGGAGTTATTGAAGCTTGTTAGCCGAAAACCTGCTGTAATACGAGGCCATCCCTCTAGTTTTTATCAGAAGTATTTCAGGCTGTTTTATAACTTTTCTGGTAAGTTACAAAATTTCAAGCTCAAAAATCCCAGTTTTTGCTTTTTAGGATCGCATCTAAATTTGCGAGAGCCTGATCTAAATTTTTTTGAGCTCACTGCTCCTCAAGAGCTGAAACTTTTTCTATGAATAGTCTGGGCACTATGCTACAGAATCTGTTCTTTGAAGCCTCTCAGTCTTTTCCTGGCCTTAATTACGAATTTTCAAACTACCGTGCTCATGCATGTTTTTGACGTCGTTCTGGACGGCGCTAAAGCGGTTTTTTGCAAGAAAAACTGTGGAAGAGGTAAGAACTGAACTTCTTAGTCAAAAACATCTTTTGTAGTTCAAGAATGTCATTTTGTTCTCCGTGTAAAAATTTGTGTCGCATACGGGAATCGAATTTGCTGGCCTGAAGTATGCCTGAAAATTCAAAAGTAAACTTGCAGAATCTCAAACATTATTGAAGGTGTGTATATGTGCTAGAGATAGGCCAATGGGTGCTGGGCGCACCCATTGGCCTAAAAATTCTGCTTCCGAAACCTCACTGAAGTTCTCACGCAGGTGTTTTTTGAGATTGACATTCGTTTATGCAGGTTACCGCGAGAAATGTGGGCGGGGGAGGTAAGGGGGATAGATGAGGGAGGGGAGGGGGGGGTCGTAAATGAGGGTCCAGGATCGCATCAGCACGCTTGACCCTGCTTACAACTATGTATCAAAAACGAGGAATTCGCGCGCAACCGAGTCTCAGAGACGGGAAATGAAAATTTGAAGGACGGTGAGGAAATCGCGATCGGGTCCCGACACGAACAACCTGATTATGGTCCCTGCCTTTGTTGGGGGGGGGGGGCGGGCATACAGGGCATCTCGGCGCGGCTAAATTGTCGCGAGAGCACGACTTGTATAATGGCAAGTTTGTACTGAGACAAGCGTTTTACATCGCAGCGCGTGATTCGCAGTGATGTCCAGTCCATGCGGTCAACGAATCAACTATACAACGTGCCCATACACTCTCTTGACGAAACTCTAGCAAAACCGGTGATTTGACTCTTCAAAGGAACAGCACCACTTGCGCTGGTTGATCAAAAGATTCTGAGTCTGGCCGTAATTGGGCTTGGCTCCAGTTTTGTGGTCGTCTCAGTCAAAACATTAGCGCATGCAAATTAGGTGTCAGTCGTTACTTCGTTGAGCAGGATAGCTCAACAAGCAGATTCTCACTATAGCACGTGATATCAACCCAAATCATCACTATCACTATCATCGTCGTCAGTGTCGGAGCCATCTCAGGAAGATCCAGAGGATGACGAAGACGAAATGGGAGATCCATCCAGCCAATTCTCTTCATGATTTTCATGCTCTTCTCAAAGAGCTTCCTCAGATTAAGTCTGGAACGATAAGGTTTACTAGTAAAAAGCTGTAAGTCTAAATATTCATAAACCAATATAATTACTCGCGTTAGTCCACCAAGAACCTACGAGTAAATAAAGTGATGGCGAAGTGAATGTTTTGTGCAGTATCACGAGGGAGCAAACCAGATGCCGTTTGGAGCGCTCCAAACAACTAGTTCAGCGAAAGTACCAAAAACAAAAATGACGTATGTATCGCTTTTCCTTCCTTAGAGTTTGCTAGATCCATAGACGCACAGAGCTCTTGGGAAACGCTTGGATAGATGCGTCTGGATGAAGCAGTGTTTTCTGTCAATTAAACGTTTGTAACATCTGGAAGGCCTAACTTTGTGAAAAAAAATTCAAGTGCATGATCTTTCCAACAAATTGGCTAACCAACGGGCATGACACTGAGCCTTCGCATCACTGTTGGCAAAAAATAGCCAACTATCTGACGTTATCCTCCAAAGAGAAAACAAAAAAATCGTACCGTCCACGAGGAAGCGACAGTGAAGAGCAGTGCGAGATAAGACGAGCCATGCTTCTTGATCTAGTATCAAATCTGTGAACTGTTGCGTTTTTCGAATCTTTCCTAAAGCGGTAAGGATTATCTGAGGAACTGCAGAAAATTAGAAGTAAAACTTCGAAGAAGAAGTTTCGAGAAGTTTCGTGTTTAGAAAGATATTATTGGTAAATTTGGTAAGTAAGGGCTAAGATGACCGTAGAAACTCACCCAGTTCGTTTTCCGATCGTATCCTCTAAGGATAACGTATGCGTAATTTGATCATCCTCATCGATAAGATCCAAATCATCAAGCGCCGCAGGATAAGCTCAGGCTAAACGCATTGTCCATCGAAAGTAACCTCGACACAAATATGACAAATAACATCTTAGATTTATCTTTGCGAATAGTCAAAAAGCGACATTCAGCCGCACAAATCGCTTGTTTACAGCGCACACACAACCATATGACACCAAAATTGAACTGTATATGAAGAAAATTATATTGTTTTTCAAAATTAGATCGCCTCCAGACGGACACCAGACGATCTGAGATCGTCTGGAGCATATATTTCCGTCACTTCACATAAGTTTTGGATCTTTTCAGCATGGACGGATGCCCCGGTCGAAAATCTATCCCTGAGCATAAAAACATTTTCATATCATTCCCCCTCCGTCGTTTTTACCTCCCTTTTTTCCGAAATTCGCCATGTTAGATATCGCGCTCCACTGCCAATTCCGCGTTGCTCTGAGCGAAAACATTGGGTGTTTTCTTCGTCTATTGTTGTCGTTCTATTGTCATTGTTTGTTCGTTAACGTTCTTCGTTCTTCGCTCGCAGCAGCAAACGGCATTTTGTCCTTGTAAGTGGCTGTGTGGACGCATTCTTGAAAGGTACGCTATCAGAAGACGATTTGAAGAAAGTTCTTGCTGAATTTCTCGGCGAATTGCCTGCGAATGTATGCATGCGGCGTTTTTCGTGAGAGTTCAGTTTTTTTTGCTTTCCTCTTTATATCCAAGTTTTATCTATTTTATTATCAATACTAGAATTTCTTGCGTCATTCTTAACTCTCTAGGTTGTCCTAGGCGAGGATTATGCATTGCGTTTGTGTTTATTTAAAAGAAGACGTTTACGTGTAACGTTCGCCATTCATCCGAAAGGTCGCTTCCACCTAGGATTCGTTAAGGGATAACTGATAATGAAGGTGAGTTTGACGGTATCGTAGTAAAGTTCTGACTTTCATTGCGGGTTTAGTCTATGGTTGCCAGTGGTGTTGATATCGACGGAACTGTATTGATATCGGATACGGAAGCGTTTCTTGATAATGATAAGGTAACTAACATAATCACAGTCTTCATGCATAACTCCGGTATTTGAGGTGGCCTGGGCCTTATAAAAGAGCGACTTGACTTTGTCGCGTTTTGTAGCTTTGGGAGAAGAAGACAGAAGTCAATAATTACAGTCAATAATCACACATAACACATGCTTCAAAACCACTTCCAAAATGTGCAAAATTTCCATGAATGTCGCGGAATTGCCGAAATTCCGCGACATTCACGGAAATTTTGCCCATTCTGAGAGTGGTATTGCATAATATAGCACAGGAATATTTCAATTTTGTCTGAGAAATAACAGGTTTTTGAAAGAACACTTTATTTACTATCCCACGTTTCGGCTGAATGCCTGAAGAAGGCATTCAGCCAAAACGTGGGGCAGTAAATAAAGTGAGTGTTCCTTTAAAAAAATGTTACAGCTTGAACAAAATTGAATAGTACCTATAAAACATGCCAAGGTTTTACAAAAAGGAGACAACAATCGAATTGAATATAGGAAATTATAGTTAATCCAAGACGCTACCTTTCGTTACCGCTTACTTGTTACCCAAACTTTTTATGTCAGAGTACTCGAAGATATCGTTGCAGATGACTAATAAGACTGATTTTCCACATTCACAGATTGCAGTAGTCTGCCACGAAGAAATTGGAATATTATGATTTGTCTATAACTATTTACACTGATCAAATGCTTGCATAAAAAGAGCTTTTCATCTCGTAAGTTGATCTGCTGAATCGTATTCTTGGTTTCAGTCTACCTTGTACAATAGTAGTTGACGAAGAAAACAACTGACCGGAGTGGTTTTATCTGCCGACATTTTCTGATACATGTGCGATGGTTGCAAATCAAAGAAGAGTTCTCTAGCGGTCATCGGCCGAGGTGGAATTTTTGGATAACAAGGATCCACAACTCCTAAACAATTGCACTTAAGCCTTTTATGAAAGTTCCCATCTGGCTTTGCTTCTATACGGTCTTTAAAGATTGGATATAATGTAAAGAAAACTATAAGCTAATGTATTGGCAATTCTCCTCTGGTGAGAATCGTTGCACAACGTTAGCAAAATGCTCGTATGCATTGATTGACCTAATGTTCATGCAATAAAAGTTATGCTATCCTTCACCGCTCATAACTCGTCGCAAAAGTACCTAACTTCACCGGAGTTCGCCGATATTCGCGTCCTACCGCCATATCTTTCTTTTACACTGGATGAATTCTGAAACCAAGAGCATCGTTCAACTCAGCTCGGCCACCACATTTTCTGATTTACGAAAGAGCTCGTCTGAATATAGTAAACGTTCAAATTCCACGAATCATTTTGGAGTTTTGCCTGCGATAGTGTACTGACAAGGGGAGGGTATTTGGTCGAAGTGGCATTTCCATATGAGATGTAAAGTATCTTACAGAGCATGGAACGCTGACTCCAAATCTGCTTTCCTTATTTGCAAAGCGCTTCTGGGAGGGGAGTTTTGGAAATTTTTGTGGTAAAGACTGAGTCATTTGGCTGAGATAAAAATTGGTGTTGAGGTCTTTCCAGCGCTTGAAAAGAGAAATGACTGACATTAGTTTATTAGATTGAAAGCCTTTATTCCATAGAACGCCCTAGTAGTAATCATGGCCCCATTCGAGCTCACGGACTAAAGTTCTGATTAATTTTATTGCAGCAGCGCTTTCAAATTTTGCATCAAAAAATTTCCATAACTCCCCTCTCAGAAGCGCTTTGCAGATATCGAAATCAGGGTTGGAGTCAGCATTCCATGCATTATAAGATGGTATACATTTCATATGGAAACGTTACTTCGACCAAGTATCCATCCCTTGTAAGTTGCAATGAATAAGCACCTGAGTAAATTACTGTAAGCTCGTAAAATCTAACCTTCCCCTACAACTGCCGTAATTGAACGGGAATTTATGTCAAAGGATGACCCTTGTTGATGATTTCTGTATCATCAACCGATGAACTCTATACTTTAGATAGTCTACGGTTGAGTATCTAATCACTCGAGATTGAGTGGTACCCGTGCGCTTGTAGCCAATCGGCGGCATCTCCTTGCAAACACCAACTCCTGTACATTGTACCCTGTACTCGGTTCAGCTCCGCCTTCCTTCGTATATAAGGAGCCTCCGAATGTATTAGAGGTTGCTCCCCGGTTAACACCGGGACGCCTCGATCGCTCTCAACTAATCTACGTCAGTGCGAATAAATCTATATTCCACTTCGTCTACCCCGTTCACTTGGTACACATCAAAACCCTCTCTGAGAGTCACGTGCCGTCGGATTCAGAGTTTGTCATTCACAACCAAGACATGGCATCGCGACGCGGATTTCGGTGAACTTCGGTGGAGATCTGTGACTTTTTGACGATTTATGAGCGGTATTGTGTAGCCAATATGAGTTGCCTAGACAACAATCGCGATACTTTTTCAATGACTTCAAAGTCTTGACTTGAGATTTTTGATAGTGTCAATGGTCACATTTTTTTAAATTATGAGAGTCAAAAAAACTTACTATAAGAAAGGAGCATTAATGAAGCGCAGCCAATGAAAACAATGATGGATCCCATAAAGATTGCGAAAGACCATACTAATCGAGGCTGAGATTCAGTAACAGTCAAATCGTTTAGCTGTTGCAGCGCTTCAATCCAGTCGTACAAAAAGTCTTTGTAGAACTCCTGAAAAGGTCGTCAACATTCCCGAGCCGAGACAGATGACTTAGATTCGCAGGGTTAAATCACCACAGCGTTTAAATTAGATGGTTACCTCCCATGATTAACCGGGTATTATAGTGATAACTGTGATAGCCGTGTATTGCGGTAACCGCCAAGGGCATAAAAGTTATCAGAATGCCAAGGATGTACTTATCCAACAGCGCGTACGAAATAATTAATTCAAAGATTCAATGGGGCAGGAATTTCAGCCCACAAATTGTAAACAGTAAGAACTGCATGCTGGGCATTAATTATAAACATTCTTTAGTAACGGCGCGGCCCTTCAATGGAAAGCCGAAGTTACCTCACATGAGTAAGAAGGTACAATTTTCACCATGCGGACTGTATGTACGAAGGAGAATGAACAGCTCTCCGACAGAGTAAGCGAACGGTCGAATAGAGATCTAATAAACACTCTGAGAAAGTTTGGCAACTTTTTTTAACAACCCTTTGCGATAGACTCTGCAACAAAGAACCGTAAGAGCAGCGTCAATACAAGATTACACACAATTTTCACATGGCAGTTCACCACCTAGATAAATTCTTGTAGGAACTGGCATGCGTCCATTAATGGTAAGATTATGATCTAAATTTCTACAAGTTGATCTAGTTATGTGGCCAATGTCTCTGCAGACTTGTCACCTGAATACCCTGAGCTAAGGCTGAGCTACTGCCCATCCTGGCCGATAAAAAAACCGGTTTTTGTTTGTCAGTAAAAAAACGAACAACTGAAAAGAATTAGCGAAAGAGGTAGCAACGTTCACAGAATCAGTTTGGGCCTTACCAAAGTGGAGGCATCATAAAGATAGTAGTCATTGCAAATTTTTGGCAAGGGAAGTTAGAAGAAGTCAAGAAATCTGCTCAGAAGATCGCAAATGATTCCGAGTTAAAGTGAAATTCTAGAGTTTCCGAAGGGACACTCCTATCGGAGTTGCCAGGTAGGACGGGGTCAGATAGGGCGGAGTCCACCCACATGGACCAATAGGAGCGTCCGCTCCAGAAGATTTGGAAGTTCAGTTTTCCCCGGAAAAGTCATTTGCGATTGTCTGAGTATGCCAACCTACAAACACTACTGGCTGTTCGCAATAAAATTTCTGTTAAGAAATCAGTTACCCTGAGAGCCGTTGAGTGCAAACAAAGGATGTACTATTGTACTATCTCTATGCGTGAACCATATCGTCTGATCCCGTCTTTATAATAACTTGATATGAAATCATTCATATTTTCTCTGAGTTTCATTCAAATGATGAAGTTTGTAGAAAAACAAATACACACAAAAGTGAGCGGCACTATGTAAATTCTGGTTGGGACTCTCTCGTTTGAGCACCTTCAGCAAACGACTGCCGTAATCCTGTTACGTCAGCGGAACAACATAAACGCAAAAGCGGATGCAGCTTATCAGATGCTATAAAATCTCCAGGAGACCGATAAGCATGTTCTGCAGCCTTCACCACAAAGTTCAAGGAGTGTCAAAATGCAATTCGCTCAACTTGCTTCACATGACTTATGTAGCGCGTTCATTTTATTTGTGTTGCGATTTATCCATACTTGTAGGATAAAGTACCTTATACATTCATCGCTATTAGCCGTGGTATTCGCTCTTCCAGCGGAATGTAAGTGTGGTATAATAGTAGAGTGGTCACAAAAGTACACTGAAACCCTGAGAAAAGTTCAAAAAGTGTATCTTCAGTAGCGTCTACTGGCCACTGTGACTCGGATTGGACCTACTTCGATATGACTAATTCGTGCTACTATGTAAGTTGCATGAACTTCCCGTCGTACTTCTGCTTAGTAGTACTGCAATTACGGTCCAGATACTACACTAGCGAGACTTTGCAGGTCAGGGCCCGGCACCGATGGTTTGGGGTCAAACTGGACTTCGTTTTTGGAGTTAGAAGCAACGGGGACATCGTTTTTATGAGGTCCTGGAGGAAGCGCCGAAAAAAACACGACGAACATGTCAGGTTTCACGAGTTGAACGTGTTCTTTCGCAAGCGCGCGAATTTCAAATGCAGGACTCAAACAAACAAATGGCTTGTTTACAGCGCACAAACAATCACATGGCTCCGAATTTGGGCTATATGTATACAATATTACTCCAAACTATGTTATGTAAAAAGTTCCCAAAACTTATGTGTCCTAATATCCGTTCTCGAATTTGTTGGTTTCTAGAGCAACTACCAAACCAACTGGGTTGGTTCGGAGCATAAATATTGTAGAGTTCACATAGGTTTTGGATCTGTTTGACTTGGACGATTAGAACGGTCAAAAATCTATATATATATAAAACTCAATGTCTGTGAGGATGTTCGTTTAGTTGTTCGTTCGTTATAGAGACGCGCGCCACTGAACCGATCCGGCTGAAACTTCGCACACGTATATTTTCGACCCCGGCGCTGATTTAGAGCTACTTTCCGCGGCGATTCGCCGGGCCATTCTATCGATTTATTGATTTGTTTACTCAAACCTAAGAAAATGAAGGGCCATCATGGCAACCGATCATTTTCACATATAAGCATGTAAGCAGGGGCGGTAAAGTCCATTTCAGTCTTAAAGTTGGTAGGGTGCGGCAATTAGTCTGAAAGCGCTTTATGCGCATGTTAGAAGAAATCTAGAGGAGTAAGTTTACAAGTTCTGTTGGCTTAACTAACTTGAAGTCTCGGGTGAGACCGGGGCCACCAACTAGTCTATCATATAGTGAAGACAGCAGATCAAACCGTTACCTCTCCCCTTTTTTTGAGTCAAAAGTAGTATAATTCTACGCGTTGATAGATATCGCGCTCCAATCACTTGCGGTGTCCTTTGAAATACGTGGCGAAAAATGCATCGCAGGATTGTTGAGGCTACAGATTTGGTTGGCCTAAGAGATTTTCGACATTCCCGGCATCAAAATGGTACTATACCCAATGGCATAGCCTTTGATCGACTCGAAATGTTTTCCTTTTGCTTTTTTGTTATATTGTATACCTCAAAATGCGCTTTTTTCGCTTTTTTGTTGCTATTTTGGTTGAATAAAGGTTTCTCCACTGATTTTCACGTCGAGAGGGACTTCATGAATTTTCGCGAAGTCATGGGGGACTTCGTTTCCTAAAAACCTCCAAACCAACGCGTGCCGGGCCGTGTTGCAGGTGGGAAGCGACAATAATTACGATTCCGCAGAAGCAGATTGCGTTTCATTGGGGCACACTGACGTTCATTCAAAACGCTTTTGAAAACAATTTTTGTTGCATGTGAGTTTACCATAATAATCCAGTACACGCTTTACGTTCCAGTAGGAGCAAATTTCCTCATGTGGAGATGCATCTGAGGCAAAAATGTACTGCTTTTAGCACTCACTGAAGTGGGCAAGAGCTTGAATGAGAATCAGATGACGTGGATCGGGCTTAGATACCAGGTATCTCTTCTTGACTAGATTTTAGACCATACGCTTTTTTGGAAGCTTTTCTGGCTAAACTCTTTCTCGGTGGAATTTTCTGATGTGAATAGCTCTAGAATAATGATACATTCGAATTGTGATGTCTTGCTTCGAATAGGAAACTATAAAACCATATTCTTTTGAATAACAGCAAGCGAAGAAAGCCTTGTTTATTGCAAAAAAACAAAAAATTATTGTTAGCCATATCTACCTAAAAAATGTTCATGTCATTAGGGGAGGCCTCAACGTGACAAAATAGGTTTCAAAAATTTGACAACTTCCTCTTATATTTCCTGATTGCCCCAACAGATCAGCTTATTAAATGAAGAGCAAGTCGCTAGTCTCAAGCAGACAATAATTTTTTTTTAACAGTCACCCAGAATCCACAAACAGATGCAACAGCTGGATGAAACTTTGACAATGAAAGTAATAGCAGTTGCAGAGCGTTGACACTGCAAGCTATATCTTTACAACTATGAACCATCATAATTAAATAGACAAAATATTGCTGGTTGTGGGGGGGGGGGGGAGTAAAAAAAATTAAAGAGCCCAGTGTTTCTAGTCGAAAAACCATTCTCTTCACTGCAGCTCACAAAGATGACGCTTCAAGTGCGACAAGCTGTGAAAGCCTGTGCTTTGCACAAAGTTCACCTCATTTTGTAATTAACGATTTATTAAATTCACCTGTACCCAAATTTACAACAAGTTCAGCTAGTTGTACACTGGAAGGCTCAAGCAAAAAGAACCTCATTCAGTATGCCATCTGTAGTTTTCATACCCTAAAATCTCACAGTTAGTCCGCCCATCAGGAAATCCGTCTACAGATAAGTCCGCCGTCAGATGAGTCCGCTTTTTTTGACTCGAATATGGCTCTTCAGATAAGTCTGTTTTCTTCTCATTATAACTACCTTGAAATCTTGTCAGACAGGTCAGGAGACTGTCAGATAAGTCCGAACTTATCTGTATAAAGGCGGACTTATCTAAGGGGAGGACTTATCTGCAAGACGATGCGAGGGTGCTTTTGCATCAATTTTTCATCTCAAAAAAGATTTAAAAAAGAGATTTATCTGTAAGATTTTAGGGTAATTCAATAACAGTGTGAGGTGGCGCTTCTGAAAACACACCTTCATTGAGCATACACCTGAAGTTCCTTCTTATGAAAGCTTCAGAAAAGAAAACCATGAATAAGTGAACAGCTAAATTCATTATTCGGTGTACTTCCAGCAAAACAAGTGGACATGGGCAGATGGCAGTAGCACCACATACCTGAACTGGATGCATACCTTCGATAGTCTAGAGACAGGGCGTCAAAAATGAAGGTTGTTTGAACATCTGACGTCATAAATAGTGAAGGTTGTTTGAAGATGATCAGAGAAGAGAAAATGACATAAAACAGATACAAAAAGCAAAAGAAACTGCTGAAAATAGGATAAAAACGCTGCAATGAGGCTTGAAATCTTTCATTTGGCGGCTTTTCAAAGTGCCAGTTTTCGCTCCAGGACCAGCAGTTCGCAACACGGGGTTTTGATTTTTGATGCGTCCTTTGAAT